CACCCCCCTGCTGCAGGCTTGGGCAGGATGTGCTAGCTCCCCATCGCTGTGCATACACCCGGGGGGCAGGGGGAACCCATGCCCCCCAGAGCTGTGCACAGGGCAGGCGCGACCCGGTGCTGCAGGAAAGGGCAAGACCACATAGGAAAGCTGCTTGCTGCTGCGAGCTCTGCACTGGCCTCGAGACACATGCCCTGTGTGTGTGGCAGCAGCAAGTGGCACAACCCTGTTCTACCGCCACCTGGCCCCGGTGCTGCTGCGCACATAGGGGATGCATTGCCAGGGCACTACATAGCCTGCAGCAGCAAGCAGCTTTCCTGTGCAGCCCTATGCTTCCCTGCAGTGCCAGGTCACACCTGCTAGGCTGCAGAGGCCCTGGGGAAGGGCAGCAGGGCAGGGAGCTCAATCCCACAGCAGGAATCCTGCACCTGCCCCCACCCTGTGCACGGTCTGGGAGACACAGGGCCCCCCCCCTTACCCCAGGAGTACACAGAGGCAGAGAGCTGGTCCTACCCCTCCTCCACCCCCAGAATGAGCCACCAGCAGCCCTGTCCTGCGGCGCATGGCCCAGGCCCCCAAGCCCTGCACACCGCACAGCTGGGCAGCAGCAGCCCCAGTCCTGCCCAACTCCTTCCCTTCCTATGGGGGCCTCAATCCCCTCTGCCCTGCCCCCCACTTACCTGTGGGAGCTGTTCTCCAGGCTGCCTGGGGCCATGGGCATTTTCATGCTCATGGCCCCCCGTGCCCAACTGCCCTTCTCCTGCTCCCTCCCAGCCCCCTGCAAGCTGGAAGTCTGTCAGCCTGCAGAGGGCTCACTGCAAAATAGCAAAATCCACTGTTTTTTCTGTTAAAATGAGAAATCCTCATTTTCCTCCAGTAAAGGGGGAAAATCTGTGTTTTACTTTGTTTTTCCACGGGAAATGGAAAACCTGGATCTCTGCTCATGAGACACACAGGTGCTCAGGTAAATAAATTAAAAATTGATTTAGCTTTCGACTTGACGCAGTCATACAAAATCAGTTAGCTACACTTTACACTTCAAAGTGTTTCCAAAAGCAGAATCTACAGCCTACCTGTTCACAGTCAATAGGAACAGTAGAGCCATGGTAACTCATACCCTGCTCTTTCTATGTTTCTGCTTTCTTGGCATAGGACTTTCTACTACTGCTGCTGAATAAAGGAGGCATATGTCTACTACACATTACCAAACCCTTCATTTAGATCCTTTCCTCCCCACCCCACCCCCCCAACCTTTGCAAGTTCCAGAAGTAGCTCTGTAAGTTACAGCGGAGGGCATGTATCAGTCAGTCACTGCAGCCTTTATTCCTTATCTCCCTGAAGTCTGCCTCTACTTCCTAATCTGAGGAGGTGGATTTACAAGATGGAAGAACTATAATGGAAGAGTCCACATACTGAGGTTTCTGACCCATTTTTACCATAGCTGCCAACAAGGCTGCACTGGGTTTTCAGAAGAAAATAAAGACTGTAGCTGAAAGACAAGATTTAGAACCTTCTGCCATGAGGAAGCTGTAAATCAAACCAGTGTGGTTAACCATCTCAGCAATGAACAAAACAAAAACAGTTTAATCTCAAGCAGCTTTTTCCAAGCTCTGGCACAGAAACTATTGCTTGTAAAAACTAGCTTGGAGGCCACTGAATCAAAGAACACAACCACCCAAATGAAATAATAGTAATAAGTGGTAATGCAGTGCCACTAAATGTAATATGGCTTATATATACACTGCATCATCTTGCTCTCCAAGAAAAATTCAGAATTTAAAAACATTTCACCTTAGCCCATAATTTTCAGATAGACAGTTAGCCAAGTGAGTCTGAAGTCAAGCAGAAGGCAGCTGAATTTTAAAAAGCTGGAAGATTGTCATCTTACATCATATTTAAAGGACTTGGTGTACCGTACACTAGTTAAGTTTTGCCGGGATACTTCTGCCAACTCAGGTCGGAAGCAGATCACACTTTTTAGCCCCCTTAACTAAACTAGCAGAAGGCAGATGTGCAACTGCATCTGTGCTGAGGAGGTTCTGCCA